CCAGTCACTTCTTTAGAAAGAGGACCCTGGCACTTCGAATAGCAGGAAGGCCGCCAGCCCGAGGAGCATGGGAGGGCAGTGAGGAAGCTGCCAGCAGGGGGCACTAAGCAGAGCAGTGAAAGGCTGATAACTGCTGCATTTGTCTCTGTTCTAGTTCCTCTGCTAAAAAGCCCCCTGTGGGTCTTTAACAGAATTTGTAGATAACTAGATAGGAGTAGATATAATAAAACTAGGTTTTATCAAGCTAAAATGATGCTTTTAAGTTTTCATTTTAGAGTCTACAAACCCCTATGGTATTGTTTTTAATATCCTCTCGAAGTGGATAAAGTGGAACTAATTAAATGTCCCAGTGACCATACTGGGTCTTATTATGTAGTATACCAGGATAAATATTTGTTTAAACTATTAAGTTACTTTGTGTAGCCCAGAATTTTCAAAGAACACATTTTGAAATCACAGGTATGTACCAAATTTCCAAGAAGAGATCCCCATGCATCTGCCCTTGTGTTTCTGGAAAAACATGTTACTGGAAAAATAACAGAAATCTCTTGGTTCCTTTAAGTCTTGGGAAATAAGCAGCCTCTTTTCTTTCCCCCTTTCTCTGTTTAATCATCCAAGCCGTAATAAACCCTTCACCGTAATAAAGCTTGATCTTCAGTGAGTAAAAACAGTGTAGTTATTATATTTAATTCAATCCATATTTGGCTGTTTTGATGCAGTATGCCTCACTTGGATAATGGAACTTCGACTTAACTTAGAACATGGTCCATAGTTACCTAATCTTGTCGCAGTGGTTGCACTAATATAGTTAAAAATCTTCATCTTCAGAGGTTAGAGAACTTCTTGAACTCTTGCCACTAGGTAATTAAATTATTTCTTTTCTCACCACTTCTTATTCTTATCTTTTTTTAAAAAATCTTTTTTTTTTATCACCTCGAACTGCTTTCCCCCAAAGCTAATTAACAGGTAAATAATGATTCTTAAAGGAAAAACTAGCACTTCATTAGCATAGCAGTGGAATGAGGCAATTCTCTGCTCAAAGCAAATTGAATCATTCTCTCGTTGCCGAATATAAAACATATGCCAAATTAATAATTTATTTTAATGATAGTGATTTAAGTTAACCAAATCAACCAGCGCTAATAACAAAGGATACAATTTGCTTTTTCCCTGGATTATACTTTTCCAACAGGCATTTTTCTGTTCACGGTAGATGTGGAGACAGCCCGGGAATACGTTGTACTGCACTGAGCTGCTTTTCTTAGGAAGGAGAACAAAATAGCATTTATTTTGCATCACTCTCACTGGGAATATTAGCTATAGAAGACTAAAGTTTTGTGATTTAAGAAAAAGTTGGAGGAAGGGGGAAATTGGGCTACTCTTAGCCAGTCACTCGTGTGTCACCTCCTTGCAATGAATAAAGGAAATGTCGCTGCATATTTTCCCTTTGGATTCCGTCCTGGTGTCTAATAAGATCGCCTCCCTACGGGGAACTGGGGGTCTGCCATGTGACATTAGCTCAGAGCCTGGATCCCATGCAGCGCTTAGGGCTCCTGCTGGAACACCCACGGCCCGAACATCTTGACCGTGAGAGTTCCTCTCCTGGGCATCTCGGCACTCCCAGAAGGTGCTGCTGAGAACCAGCTAGCTCTCTCCCCGCGTCCCCCGCAGCACATTTCTCAGTCTCATGCTGAAGGAGAGGCTGATGATTTTCTGGCTCCTTTTACTGACGCCGTTCTGATTTTCATAAGGAATACTGAGCCAGCTTCTCCAGTTTGCGCAATTTACCATCGGTCTCTGTAACGGAAGTGAAACAGTGTTGGGTTGTTTCTAGTCACTGGAAGAAATAATCAGAAATGGAGCTGAGGCTCTGAGATTCATATTGTTTCATGGGCTCTTTGAGGAACAGACAGAACAAGGGAGCTTCCTACCAGACCATCTACTCACTCCAGTTCTCCAGGTGTCCGGTTGGTTTCCTGTCCTCCACCAGGTGTGTCAGTGTCCCCTAGTTTCCAAAAACTATGATAGTAACCAAAATCCCTTTGAGAAAAATAATTTAATGTTAGGTCAGCTTGAAAAGATGCAGTGCAATGAATGATGCAAACACCAGTCTAGGTGGTGTTTCTGCACTTTCGGGGTCAGGCGGTGGCCCTGGGGCCTGTGCAGGCTCAGCGTGGCCCCGCCCACCTTTGCCCTTCTCCGGTAACTCAGCCACAGGGGGAATCAGCAGAGACCTAGTGCAGTGTAGGGGCCAAGTGACCTGGCTCAGATTTTACAGTTTCCTTAAATGGGATTTTTTAAGCCTTTTTTAAAAACTCTTGACTGCATCAAGAGAAATCAAGAGGTTGTTATTGATCATGGTTCCAACATTGGGAAGCATCAGAAGTTGGTGCTTTACTCTTTACCGTGATGGAAAAAAGAAGAGAGAAGCAAAATAGCTTGAATGTAGAAAGTAAACACAGCCCCCTCACGGTGGGCCGAGGCCCAGACAGGCGGGAGGCGGGGCTGCAGAGTGGACCCTATCTCAGAGAGCTGGCCTTCTCCCCGCCTCAGATCAGGGGACTGAAGTCTCCCTGTCTGCTGTTTACCAGACCGAGTCAAATATATTTTCTTAAAACTCCAGGTGCCTTAAATGTTCATGCCAAATGAAAAATACTGACTTTTCTAAATTAAGTCAACACAACTGTAAAATCTAGAGATTTGTCTGAAGTAGCAGAATGCCTAGATCGCTCCTTCCCATTTTCAGAGCATTGGCTCATCCATTACAGGGAGAAGCTTAAGCCCGAACCTTAGTCCCAGCACAGTCTCTTGACCGTAAGTGGTCCACCTTTTAACACAGTTGTCCTTAAGCGAAACTGCCAGGGTATCTGAGAAAGTGCCGCAGCAGTTTTTACAGAATTCCGGTATGGCCCTTGCTTACTATTTTGTTTTACTGGCTTAGATGCTGTGATGGTTCACTTGATAACTCATTGAGTACGAGACTTTTCCTCATCTTTATTTCTCTGCACTCACACAGATACGGGACACGTGGACACCAAATGTTCTGAAAGGGCGGAGGGTCGTTATAATGGAATTTTAGCCGTAATAGCCCTGGACATCCGAACTGACTCACTTGCTGGCTCACTGGCCGGCTCTGCCTCTACTGCTTCCTCAAGAGATGCTGTTCTCAGGCTCCTCCTCGCTGCATTCTCCCCTTCTGCCTGCTGCTACCTGATTCTTCCTCCCACCATTCACCTGACACTCCCCTCAAAAAGTCTCCCGTGACCTCCAAGCTGTTAAATGAGTAGAGAACGTTTAAAGCCTCATCTTAACGGACTTCACTGCGAAAGTGGACGACGCTGAGCAGACTGACTGCTCTTTTGGAAGTGCTGTCTTGTTTTTCCTCCTGCTCTCTGCTTTCTTTCTTGATCTCTGCCATGGCCATCGCCCTCTCTTTCTGTTCTACCAACACCTTCTGGTTTACCCCGATGGTTCCTGAAACGGGGTGTCAGCCCAGAAAGTGCTCCTGAGATTCAGACTTCTGTAGCCATGGCCTGTTTCGTGTATCAAGCTCGTCATCCTGTGTTCGTCATTCCCTAAACGTCTCGTCTTCCTGCCCCGTTACCCACTGCGGTGAAGCACGTTGCCGTCCTCTGAGTCACCCATGTCAGAAATCTAGGATTAGTCTCCAGCACCTTCTTCCTTCCTTTCCTCCCACCCTAATCCCAATAGTTCCAAACCAGGTATGTCTCCCTAATCTCTCTCTACTCTCTCTTCCTCTCCATTTCCACTACAATTTTATTATCTCTTCTTCGTTAACACGGGAGCATCACCTCTGGCTTCCCCGAATTCCTCCCCCAGAAATCTGTCTCTCATCCGACTATCTTTAAAACCACACCTTTGATCATAATAATCCCCTGCTTAAAATTCTTCGTTTCCCATTACTTTGAGGATGAAGTTCAACCTTCTTAAACAGGGAAGAAATCAGCAATGAAAAGTACAAATGCGCCAATGCAGAACCACTTCTTATTTGAAAAAAGATGTTTTGTGATACGGCTCTCATCTGCTGCCCTCGGGAACATCTCTCTCCAGCCCTGTCCCACCACAGTGCCCACGACATAGAACTTTACCATTCTGCCTTCTCCGCCTCGGAGCCCTTACTTCTTACACCCTTACTCACCCAGGCGACACCCTCTCAACCTTCCAGACACAGCTCGAATATTTTACCTCTTCTAGGAAACCTCCCTTCAGGACCTTCTTTCCCTCACTCATCTTAATCTCTGTCATAATGCTTATTAAAATGTATTCTCAATAGGTATCTTTCTCCATTATACTGCTGAGTTTTCTATAGTATTTGACGCAAATGGAAACTCAGTGGATGTTTGAAGATTGGATGGATGAATGAATGAATAAATGAGTGACTATTAGGCCAAATAATAAAGAAAAGAATATCATATGAAAAGCACTGTACAATGTCTCGTGATATATAGTGTCACACTTCCAGTTTGGGAGCTGATCTACTGTGTGATTGAAAGAATCACTTAACCTTCCTAGACCAAAGTTCCTTACCTGTAAAGTAAGGAGGTTGTGCTAAGACACAATGAAACTCCACAGCTGTAATAGTCTACAATCTCCATGACTGTCATTTCCCAGAAAAATACGACTAGTCGTGAACTTTGCTGTAGATTACAGAGTCAGCGTGTGACCTATATGCCTCCCTTGTGGATGTGCCCCATCTGGGTGTCCAGTTTACATAATACACCCCTAAATCACAGAAGTTTGACTGTAAAAGTTTCTTCCAAGGAAAAAGGTTATGTCCTAGTGGGAACACTTGAGCTTACCATTCCTTCTGCTATGTTTTATTAAATATTCCTGTTATGGAAATACATTTACTTTCAAGAGGGGTACGCGATGTTCAGTCTGTCAGGGCATAGTGCCGCTCCTGGAGAAGGTGGGTGTGAGTGACATCGCAGTGACTCATTCCTAGTCCCAGCTCAACGTGCCTTGCCCCTCTCTCGCAGATGGAAGTCCTTACACCTGGTGGGTTGGCAAAGCCAACGAGAAGCACTACTACTGGGGAGGCTCCGGGCCCGGAATTCAGAAATGTGCCTGTGGCATTGAACGCAACTGCACAGACCCCAGGTACTACTGCAACTGTGATGCGGACTACAAGCAGTGGTGAGTGCCCTCCAGCGTGCCCTTCGCTCGGACTAATTAGAGAGGAAGTTTGAAAAATGCTGAAACAATAAGATAATAGGTTAGAAAGGTGTGGAACTAACCCAGTTGACAAATGTCAGGAGCGCTTTTGAAACATATGAAAGCAGAACGAGGTCAGTGCTACCAGGGTGTGCATTTAGAAATAGACACATAATTGATGTGTTCATATATTATTCAGAGAGGAAAATAATGAGCCATGTAGCGGACAGTGATTTGCATTATAAAATGTGCTTTGGAACGGCGGAGGGGGTGGCGGAGGGCGGGAGTCCGCGTGCCACGTGTGAGGGCGGCTGCAGGAAACAGTCTCACGGTGAGTGCGTCTCCTCCGGCAGGGTTCGCTCTGAGTAGCTGGACAAGAAAGAAAAGGGGAGGGGGAGAAAAAATGGTTCCTTGCTCTTGTCTTCAGCAACCGTGCTGAAGGTCTCCTTTCCTTTTATGCCTTGAGCCATTTATAACTGTGATACAAATCAGTTCAAGAAAGAGCTATTTTGGGTTTCTTTCATCTCTCCACTGGCTTTTGTCCTGCTTCACAGTGAAGGGCTAGGTCTGTGTCAGTGATAGATAAAGATAAAATCAGCCTTCATTTCATGTGAAGAGAGAGAGGCCCCAGAAGTTTAGGTGGAAGGAATCAAACCTAAGTGAGGTTCTTCCTGGGAGCACACACAGCCTCAGAAACGTGGAGACGCTCTGCTCCATTCCCGCCTCCAGAGGGCAGCAGAGAGCAGAGCCCAGCCCTTCCTCACATGACTAGGCGCAGTTCACTGCAATGGCCTCTGTTTCACACTGTTTAGGAGGCAATTCACAAGACAAGCTTATTCAACTAGTTAACTGAAACTGATTCCTTTCTTTCTTTTTTTTTTTTTTTTGAAGTTATGCATGTCATTTGTAATGAACCTCATACAAAGGGGCCTCATTCTCTTATGAAGCACTGCAGTTTACAACCTTATTGCTGTTTTTGGCTTTGAACAATGGCAAAGAAAAAAAGCCCTGCCCTATGTCAGCACTAATCTTTTTTAATGCTCACAATTTTGTATTGTTTCTTTATATATAGATATGAGCCTTCAAATCTCAATGGGTTAAAACAGTAAAAGTTTATTTTTTACTCACCAAAAAGTTTGACATGGATGTTCCTAAGACATTTCCCTCTTAAGCAATGATTTGGTGACTTTCACCTGAATCTTTAATATGTTACTTCCAAGGTTATCATACCTCTTTTTTTTAAAAAAAAAATTTTAATTATTATTTTATATTAGTTTCAGGTGTATGTAATATAAGCTATGAAGTGATCCCTCTGATTACTCCAGCACCCATCTGGCACTACACACAGCCATTATGATAATATTAACTATATTCCCTATGCTGTACTCTAAATCCCTGTGACTGTTTTGTAACTACTAATTTGTATTCCTTCATCCCCTCACCTTTTTCACCCAGACCCCCCCACTCGCCTCCCTTCTGGCAATCACCAATTTGTTCTCTGTATCTGTTTTCATTTAGTTTGTTCATTTCTTTTGTTCCTTATATTCCACATATGAGTGAAATCAAATGGTATTTCTCTTTCTCTGTCTGACTTATTTCACTCAGCATAATGTCTTCTATGTCCATCCATGTTGTTGCAAATAAGATTTCATTTTTTAATGGCTGAGTAGTATTCCACTGTATATATGTACTATAACTTCTTTATCCAATTGTCTGTTGATGAGCATTTAGGTTGCTTCCATATCTTAGCCATTGTAAATAGTGCTGCAGTGAACATAGAGGTGCATAAATCTTTACGAATTAGAATTTTAGTTTTCTTTGGATAAATACCCAGAAATGGAATTGCTAGGTCAAAAGGTAATTCTATTTTTAATATTTTTGAGGACCCTCCAAACTGTTTTTTGCAGTGGCTATACCCATTTGCAGTCCCACGGATAGTACATGAGCGGTCCCTTTTCTCCACTCCTTACCAACATTTGTTGTTTTTTGGTTTGTTAACAATGGCCATTCTGACAGGTGTGAGGTGATATCTCATTGTGGTTTTAATTTGCATTTCACTAATGATAGTGACCTTGAGCATCTTTTCATATGTCTATTGGCTATTTGTATGTCCTCTTTGAAGAAATACCTATTCAGGTCTTCTGCCCATTTTTAAGTCAAAATCCTCCCCCAATTCCCAGCTCTCGGCAACCGCTCATCTGATTTCTGTCCTTACAATTTGCCAACTCCAGAATGTCATTTAAATGGAATTGTACAGTATGTGGCTTTTTGTCCTTTTTTCTTTTCTTTTTTCCTTTTTTTTGGGGGGGGGGGTTTGGTTTTTTTTTTTTTTTTTTGGTGTTGAGTTGTATGAGTTCTTTATAAATTTTGGATGTTAACTCCTTACCAAATGTATCAGAGCAAATATCTTTTCCCATTCAGTAGATTGTCTTTTCATTTTGTTGATAGTTTTCTTTGCTGTGCAAAAACTTTTTTAGTTTGATATAGTCCCATTAGTTGATTTTTTCTTTTGTTTCACTTGCCTGAGGAGGTAAATCAAGAAAAAAATTACTAAGAGCGATGTTAGAGAGTTTACTGCCTGTGTTTTTTTCTAGGAGTTTTATGGTTTTGGGTTTTACATTTAAGTCTTTAACTCATTTTGATTTTATTCTTTTATATAGTGTAAGAAGGTAGTCCAGTTTCATTTTTTTTTTGCATGTATCTGTCCAGCTTAGTTTTCCCATTTATTAAAGAGACTGTCTTTACCCCCATTGTGTATTCTTGCCTCCTTTGTCATATATTATTCTCTTCTGTTCCATTGATCTGTGTATCTTTATGACAATACCATTGCTGTTTTGATTATTGTAGCCTCATAGTATAGTTTGATATCAGGTAGTGTGATGTCTCCAACTTTGCTCTTTCTCAAGATTGCCATGGCTATTCAGGATCTTTTATGGTTCCATAAAAATTTTTGGATTATTTGTTCTGGTTTCCTGAAAAATGCCATTGATATTTTGATTAGGGACTGCATTGAATCTATAGATTTTGGGGGGCAGTATGGGTGTTTTAACAATATTGATTCTTCCTACCCATGAGCATGGTATATGCTTCCATTTATTTGTATCTTCAATATCTTTTCAATGACTTATAATTTTTTGAGTACAGGTCTTTTACCTCCTTGGTTAAATTGATTTATAGATATTCTATTATTTTTTATGCAATTTTAAATGGAATTGTTTTCTTAATTTCTCTTTCTGATAGTTCATCATTGTTATATAAAAATGCATTCATCTTCTGAATATTAACTTTGAATTTTTTCAATGACTTATAATTTTTTGAGTACAGATCTTTTACCTCCTTGGTTAAATTGATTTATAGATAGTCTATTATTTTTGATGCAATTTTAAATGGAATTGTTTTCTTAATTTCTCTTTCTGATAGTTCATCATTGTTATATAAAAATGCATTCATCTTCTGAATATTAACTTTGAATCCTGCTACTTTACTGAATTTATTTATCAGTTCTAACAGCTTTTTGGTGGAATCTTTAGGGTTCTCTATATAATTATATATAAATATATATATATATATTATTTTCAGGTGTACAGTTCAATGGTTATACATTTATATAATTTACGGAGTGATTCCCCCGATCACTCTAGCACCCACCTGGCATTAACATAGTGACGACGATATTATTGACTACATCTCCTGTGGTATTACTGTTAGTTTTGTAACTCCCCGTTACTATTTTGTAACTTCTATTTTGTACTTCTTAATCATGTCATCTTTTTCACCAAGACCCCCAATTCCCTCCCATCTGGCCATCACCAGTTTGTTCTATGTACTGTAGCTAGGGCTTCCAATACTACGTTGAATAAAAGTGGTGAAAGTAGACATCCTTGTCTTGTTCCCGATCTTAAGGAAAATGCTTTTAGCTTTTCCCCATTGAGTATGATGTTAGCTGTAGATTTGTCATATATAGCCTTTATTGTGTTGAGATATGTTCCCTTTATTCCCAATTTGCTGAGAGTTTTTATCACAAATAGATGCTGGATTTTGTTTTTTCTGCATCTATTGATATGGTTATATGATTTTTAACTTTCAATTTGTTGTTGTGGTGTATCACATTAATTGATTTGTGTGGATATAGAAGCAACCTTGCTTCCCAGGAATAAATCCAATTTGATTATGATGTATGATATTTTTAATGTATTGCTGAATTTGTTTTGGTAGTATTTTGTTCATCAAGGCTATCAGCCTATAATTCTCTTTTTTTTTATATTATCTTTCTCTGGTTTTGGAATCAGGGTAATGGTGACCTCGTAAAATGAATTTGAGAACCTTCCTTCCTTTTGAATTTTTTGGAAAAGTTTGAAAATAACAGGTGTTAATTCTTCTTTTCATGTTTGGTAAAATTCACCTATGAAGCCTTTCAGTCCAGGACTTTCATTTTTTGAGAGACTTTTGATTACTGATTCTATTTTCATTGATGGTGATAGGCCAATTCAGATTTTTTGTTTCTTGACTCATTCTTGGGAGATTGCATATTTCCAAGAAAGGATCCATTTCTTCCAGACTGTCCATTTTGTTGGCATAATTGCTCGTAGTATTTTCTTACAATCCTTTGTATTTCTGTAAAGTCCGTTGTCACTTCTCTTTCATTTCTGATTTTATTTATTTGGGTCCTCTCTTTTTTTCTTGACAAGTCTGGCTAAAGATTTATCAGTTTTGTTTATCCTTTCAAAGAACCAGCTCTTGGTTTCATTGATCTTTTGTGTTATTTTTCTAGACTCTATTTCATTTATTTCTGCTCTGATCTTTATTATTTCCTTTCTTCTACTTAACTTTTAATTTGTTTCTTGTTCTTTTCCTAGCTCTTTTAAGTGTAAGGTTAGATTGTTTATTTCAGATTCTTCTTGTTTCTTGAGATTAGGCCTGTATTGCTATGAATTTCCCTGTTAAGACTGCTTTTGCTGTGTCCCTTAGATTTTGAGTTGTGT